TTTAATTAATAATATATATTTTAGATAGTAAAGAAAGAAAAGAAAAATCTATTACTACACCACAATACAATCAAATGAAACTTAAGAGTGCCCGTGATTCATGAACTTTTAAAAGATTTCCAAAAAGAGCTTATTAAATTAACTAATATATAAGGCCCCACCCCTTCGGTACTGCACGGCAAAATAACATTCTTTTTATTTTAATTTTTTTAAGAGTAAGAATAGAGAAAACAAAAATTTAAAACCAATATATCATGTTATTAAATTAATTAATATATATAATTTTGTGGATCTAAAAAATAAAAAAGAGTCAATTATTAAACAATAAAAGATTTGCTCTTTAATATTTTAAACAATGTGATTTATATACTACATTATTAGTCTTATATTTTGATATTAAATTTTAGTTTCATTTATCATTATTTTTTTAATAAAAATTTATTAGAACAACATAGTCTTAAAGTAATATAATTTTAAAGTGTCTTCTATTTAACTTGTTACATGTTTGATTTATAAATATTTTTTTCATATATAAATTATTATATAATGAGAAAAGAGTACATTCACTTTATTTCCTATAAAAAGGCCAAGCCTCTAAATTTATCCTTAAATAAAAGAGTAGAGATAGATTTGCCTTAAAAAAAAGGATAAATTACTCCTCAACATTGTTGATCAAAATAAATTATCCAATATTTAACATGTAATATCATAACATGTTAACTTTTCATTAAAAACAAACTTAGGTGACAAATGGATTCTTAACATGCAATAACGTTACACATTAAATAATATGCGATTTGCTTTACTCAAAAATTTAGAGGAGTAGTTTGTTCATGCTTTTTTTTTTTTTTTTAAAATGGGTCTGTTCTTACCCTCATATTTTGGAGGTTTGCCCCCATAAATTAGGAGGAAACCTTAAAATTACATTGTAGGAAACTCTCATCAAAAGGATAAAGAGACTAAAATATCCAATTTTAAAGGATAAATTATATTGTTTTTTTGTCTTT